CTTGTAGTACGCACAGGTAATTGATTTCAACTTTTTGAAAAACGTGCGTTCCCTTCCAAAAAGATATATACCGATAGATTGTGAATGGGCGCAAGCTCACAGTGGATAGATTTTTGGGCACGTGTACTTCAACACCATGGTATCTAATGGCTAACTTGGAGCTGAAGTAGCATGTCGATTACTGTATGGCGCGCCCCTGGCTGGACGCGTTTGAGACAGATCGAGATGGCGTGGCAAGGATTGTTCGAAAGCATTTTTTGGCCCTTGGACGCGGCAGTGTCATTGTTGGGCGGCAGGTTCAGAGGCGTCGCATTCCACTGCTATAAAACCCATTCAAGAATTCATTCATCACCCACTTTTGAACCACTCCCATATCCCCGGATACTATGATTGACGGTTTTTAGATTGAGTGCCCAGCTTGTTTCTCTCGGCTGAAGCGGCGACTGCGTCATCGCGAGCCTGCTGGTGTCGTGTACACTCTCAAGCTTCCTCTTTCCCAGTGGTGCTGACCTATTTCTGCAGAGTGGCGCAGTCGTGTGTCGTCGGTAGCTAGCTACAGTGTAGCTTGATCAATAAATAGAAAGTTAAATATATAAATATATAAATAGATAGATGGATAGATGGATAGATAGATAGATAGATAGATAGATAGATAGATAGATAGATAGATAGATAGATAGATAGATCGTTGGGTAAATGGATATTCCCGATAGATAGACTTGTCAATCGGAGGGGGCCGGTAAAATTAGACGGCGAAGCATGCACGAGCGGACGACGTTGCCGGGCCTTGGGCACGCCCAGTCGCTGCCGCATCTGGCCGACGCCCAGAAGGAGCTGCCAAATTCGCAGAGCGCGCTGGGTCTTGTGTCGCCGCCCAAGAAGCTCAAGAAGAAGCGGACGCTGGCACCGCTGCCGCCGCCAGTAAGCCGCCCGACGTCGCCCGCCAAGCTTCTCTCGATGCGCCTCGATACGAGCCAGGACAGTGCGTTCCAAGCGCTCCTTTCAGCAACGCACGAGCACTTGGCCGCGGGCGACGTCGACGAAGCGACAAAGCGGACACTAGACCTCCTCCAGCACGTCGAGAACAAGCACTATGCGAGCTTGCACTTGCGGCAAGCGCACGTGACCGCGCTCCAAGAGGTCGAGCGCGCGCTCGAGCAGCTCGAGCACGATGCCGGAACACGGCGCCAGGCGCAGCGCCACGCCGCCAACGAGAGCATGCACGCGCTGTCTGCCTTGCTGCTTGCGCCGTCCACTTTCGAGCTTTCGCCGGCTCGCGCGCTCATGGCGTCGGTCGCTGGCGCCTACAAGCACGCCGGCGACACCCGCGCCGAGTGCATCGGCGCCTTTGAGCATCTGCTCTTGGGGAATCATGGTCTCTCGGCGGCGCAGGACGCGTTTGAAGCCGGCGACATTGACCGCGCCCTCGCCCTCGCGAGTGACGCGACGGCGTCCTATGCGCGCTACCAAGCCTCCGCCCACTTTGCCCCGTGCCAGCTTTTGCTATCGCTCGGGTCGCGTGACGTCGCCTGGTCCCATGTACTCGACTCGGCTGTCGGGTGCTCGAGGGCTCATCGAATTTCGGTGTAGGACGCCCATGAAGAGGTGTACCGTGTTTTGGACCAGCGACTTGCATTGGCGGCCGAAGCAGCCTTTGTGCAGCGCGGGCTCGTCATTCTGAGCGCGTCTTTGGAGGCTTCCAAGTCGAGTTTGGCGGCCAACGACCCGGACTGCGCACTCGACCACTTGCGACGCTGCGAACGCTATCGGCTCTGGCTCGGCGACCGAGCGAGCCTGTCGGCGTCGATCGTAGCCAGTTTGGAAAAAAAGTACACCAAAGCCAAGCTGCTGCTGCCACTGACTCGCCTCGAGACGCTCAATGAGTTTGAGCTCAGCCGCGTGATTGCGCTCTGGTCAAGCGTCGCCAAGGACGTCGAGACCGCAACGATGCTTGTCGCCGAGGGTGCCATCGCCAAGCTAACAACCACGGCGGTCATGGTTGCGCCAAAACCAAGTCTCTTTGCGTCGCTGATGCAGCTATGGGCCGCCATCCTCACTGCGAGTGCGTTGATTTGTCTCAATCCACGCACATGGCTCAAGATCTCGATGCCGTAGGTGCCGCGAGCGACCAAGTGTTCGTTGCCGAGGCCCTGCGCTGGCTGCTCGAGGTCCTTACGCACGCGGCGTCGTCCCAGGACAAGCGGCTATGCTTGCGTTACCTCGTGCAGTGGATGACGGCGCGGCCGCTGCTGCACCACGTCGTGGGCAAAGGCCGATTTTTGACGGTGTGGGGGCGCGACCGTGATGCGAACCTCGGCGACGTCGACCTCATGGCGGCGTACGTGCAAGTGTGGCAGCATTTCCTAAGCCTGCACGCCAAGTGTCTGCACGACGACCCGCGCAGTCTGCCCTTGTTGACCGCGATCTGGACGCGGCACGTTGCCAAGCTCGATGTCGCAACGCTCTGCTTGGACGTGGCAACCACGTGCTTTCGCAGTGGCCTCGCACCGAGCCGCGCCGTCGACGCCAACGTTGTCGGCGCCATCACCACGATGCTTCAAGTCCATAACAAGCTACACGGCAGTGTGCTCCAGCACATCGTCACGCTGCTGCAAGTGCTTCTACCAGCGGAAAAGAAGTGCTTGGCCAAAGCCCGAGCTCAGAGAGATGTGCTCCTTCCGCGGCTCATTGGCCTCGATGGTGTCATCCCGCTATATGACCTCATTGCGGCCACCGACTCTGCGAGCACGCGCAATGTCCTCGCTGTAGGCTCTTCCTGACCGCGCCAACCGTAGCTTCTGCAAGAGCACATGCATCCACGCGCTCCTAGAGTCATCTGGCTGGACGCTCGTTCTGTCCACCAGAAGTTTAAGGATCATAGAAAGACAAACTCGACGTAAGCATGATGCTCTCTTCTTCGCAAACGATTACGCCGCCCATTTGTGGTCCGAGACGAGCCAGACGTCGTCCGAGACGACCCCGTCCACATCGCGCACAAACTCAAAGTACGCGTGCGACGCGTTGAGCAGGTGCATGCGCCCGTAGCCGTACTCGTGCTTCTTGGCGACGCTCCATGCATACTCCACGTTAGCGCCTTCGTCCAAGAGCTTGCCGGCCGTGCCAACCATGATGTGCGTCGGCGCCAATGCCTTGCCGTCGCCGTCGACCTTGCAGACGCCGCCGAGGACCGGACACGTCCGCTCGTAGTTGTGGACATGGCCCGTAAAGACTGCGTCAACGCCAAACTTGGCCAGCACCGGTTCGTACGCGGCTTGCGACAGCTTGTTGTACGCTTGGTCGTTCTTGGTGTCGATGGACACGTACATGGGGCGGTGGACGTGCAGAAAGACCCACGGCGTCGCGGCCCGGTTCACCGCGGCCAAGTCCGCTTCGAGCCACGTGCGCATGCGGCTGCCCGCGTTGAAGTCGTGCTCGCTGCTTACGACCACGTGGTGGGCCAACCCGAGGTCGAAGCTGTACCAGAAGACACCGTTGCCGTTGCTTGGCATGTGGTACCGGCGCGCGGTTGGCACGCCGCACTCGCCGCCGGAGCTCGCTTTCGCCATCTCGGGCGACGCAAAGAAGCACTTGGTCTCGCCGGAAACATCGACCGCCTGCACCGACGACGTGTACGCGTACTCGTGGTTGCCCACGCTCACCATGTACGGCAACGTGGCGGCAATCGGCTGCACGAGCGCCATGAACTGCTCCCAGATGTACCCGACGCTGTCGGCGTACGAGAGGTCGCCGATGTGCAAGGCAGCGGCGTACTGTCCCGTGGCCATGTCGTCGGCGACCCGCTTGGCCGTCGAGAGCGACCGCCCGTCGAGCCCGAGGCCACCCGTCGCGGTGGTCCATGTGCCCATGTCGCCAAACACAAAGAAGCTCGACGGCTTGGGCGACATGATATCCGGCATGGTGAATGCAAAGACGTCGCTCCACCCACCGACGTCGCTGCCCACTTGGTACTGCACCTTGGCGCTGGGCGGGAGGCCTTTGAGAACGGCGTCATAGAGCGTGCCGACAGGAATGAAGCGCTGGGCAGACATCGTCGACGCCGGCGCACCACACATGTCGGAGGCTGCATACGAGCTGCTCGTGGCCGTCACCGTCTTGTCGAGGTCGCCATCGCCGCAGTTGTCGCGGGCAATGCTATAGCGCACGCGCGGCCCGACGACGGCTCCCGACGTCCACATGACGCGCATCTCGTCGGTCTTGCCGGTGAGTGCAATGTGCACTTGGAGCGGCTCGGTGACGCCGGCCGTCATGGTCACGACTGGGCTCGTCGCGACCGTCACGAACGTCTTGGGGCTCGTCTCTTTCTGGTACCGAAACTGGTAGTCGCAGCGCATGTTGACGAGCGGTCCAAAGGTGAGCGTGGCGCTGGCGGCGCCCTTGGTCGGCTGAAAGTCCATGTAGTCGCTGTCGACGGTGCTGTTGACGCTGGACGCGCAGTAGGCCGTGATGCGGTCGTTGGGCGTCGGCGACTCGACGGAAAAAGTCACGTTGAGCGTCGACAGGTGCGGGATCGAGTTGGACGAGACAGCGATCGCCGCGGCCGCACTGGCGCCGAGCTGCCGGCTCCGAGTGTGGTACGCGCACACGTGCACGTTGTTTCAATGCAGTTGTCGGCGATCGTGTGGATCGTACCGAGACCACCGACCCACGACGGGCTCTCCTCGGCCGCGACGGCGGTCGCCAGCGCAACAAGACAGGAGGCGAGCTTCATTTTACAGGACTTGTGTGTGACGTGGGCACGATTTTAAAATGACATGCAGGCTCATGTAGCTGCTTGGAGTTGTGTTGCCTCAGCGCGACGGTCGACACCCATTACAGGTCCCTGCAAGATTTGATGGTGCATGGATTTGAATCTCATCAGATTCGGTGGACCACTGCAAACTCGGTCGTCAACAGTACAAACTATCCCAAATGAACCTGCAACGACCGAGACGGGCCTGCCAAGAGCCGAACTACACCAGCGTCGTAGTCTCTCTAAAACACACACAATCAAGTCCCTGAGACAGCTGCGTCCACAGCCCACAGCTTGGTCTGGATAGAGCAGGTTGTGCGGCTGCCGCTGGTTGTGGACCAGCAGATGGTGTCGTACGGGTGGCAGCGTGCAACATCTGTCAAAGCAATTATGGCGGTGCAAGCTCCGTTTCAAGTAACTAGAATCAAAGACGAATCTGCGTACTTGGTCGTAATCGGTAGCCACTCGTCTGCCTGGCCTGCTACCGCGTTACCGGTTCGGCGCTTGCGCTCGTCCGACGTGGCAATTTGCGGGCCCAAGCTGCAACAGCGCGTGGAGGGGTCGCACGCGCAGTTTTGCACTTGCAGGCACCAACGCGTTTACATGGCCCTTCCTACAAACCAAGACGCGGCGTCCGAGCGCACTCGTCCCATTGCACAACGTCGAGCGTGCTACGGCAGGCGAATTCGGCTCTATTGCGAGGCATGTGGGCTGCCTCTAAAGGGTTAAGAGGCAAGTATACGGCCACGCATTCCTCGAAAGAGCACCGTTACTTTGCGCGCAAGATACCGAATCAAAGTTACTACGCAGTTACTACGTGGCATCGTGTCGGGCAGTTTGATATGGGATTCTGAATGAGTGCTCATTTCCGCGAAAGTAAAAGAGCCGTGATGTCCCATCGGGCCAAGCGGCAGCGACTTGGATGCTCCAGATTTCGGGTTCTCACCGATCTGAATGGTTTTGAACCGCCTCGCAAGCCCGCCAATTCACAAATAACATCCATAAACAGCGTTCGTGCTATAGCCAACCCGAGTCGGACGCAGTCCAGTGCCTCGACGTCCAGGCGTCCCAAGAGCTGCGACGGCTTCCACGGTGCGGGTCCGGACGATGCTTCGGTTCGATTGCCATGCGCAATGGACGACCCGATGTACTTGCACGTCGAGCTCGAAAGATCCAAGTTTAAATTCGAGTCCCAGCGACGCCACTCGGATATAGTACTTGGCCTATAATAGGGCTCCTGGCGTGGGATGGTTAAATGAGGTTTGCCTCTGGCAATGTGACCAGAAACCAACGAACCATGGGAAGGCAGATGCTCGAACAGTTTTGTTGCAGAAGGCAAATGAGTCCACGAGCTATCTATTTATCTAGGTTCGAGCACCATGTCAATGGAATGGCTCGATCAAACGACCGGCGCCATTGCCTCTCGAGTCAGCAACGAGGAGGAAATTTCAACGCCAACCTAACGAAATTGCCGCTTGACGCTTCCAAGATGTCTACTATCACTCACATCATTCCGCAGTGATAGCACGGCTCTACAGTGTAGACGCTCATCAGCGTCATTTGTACTGCGCCCTGCTACCGCTGTGAGCATGATGGACTGCGAGTGACGATTTCCTTGCTACGCTGATTGCCACCCGAGTCGATCGTTGCCAGAGACGACCTAGTCCAGCGATCATTTCTCGTCCAAGCGTCTGATCGGGATTCCGTGCATGCTAAAGGATGTACTGTACGGTAGGAACCAGGTTCCTTCTCGCGCCTCAACAAGCAAATCAAGGCGCGCGCAACTTAAGAAATTCAACGCTGGCTACTCGTAGTGCGTGATAGCATTTTCAAGTTCGAGCACGTGAAGCGCGCCCGCCTCGGTCACGCCGCGCGCACTTCAACTTTCCGCGTCTGAAAACGTGGCAGCTGCAACCCATCCGTCATTTTCCAAATCGCGTCCAAAATGAGCCCCGCGTTGCCATCGTCGAGTGGTGCGTACATGCCGCCGTTCCACCTTGCGATTGCCGTCCACGATCTCCCGCTCGGTAATCTGCCGACGCTTCTATTCGTAAATCGAGCGCTTGCTTTGTAGCCACCTCGTTTTACAAGGACGCGCTCGGCTGCACGGACGGCGCGTCGTCCAAGCACTGGCAGGTAGTGCAACCGCTTCGACTCTGCCCTCCGACGCCCATGCAACTGTCCTCGTCAGATGCTCAACATGTATGGCCACCAACTGGTGCTCCACGACGCAGGCCCTACCTACCGCGCTCTCGAGCTCGTCAATGGTACAAGCACTACACTCGCAACATGTCGGAACCCTCAGCTACATATTTAGAGCACGACGACGTGCCGATGCCCCACTTTGGCTTGTGCTTGACCGTCCCTGTGTTTCATGCGCTCTGCGACCGGGTCGCGTCGTACGACAAGGGGGTGCATATCGTGCACCAGCCGCACGTGCGGTACGCCGGGCGTCCCGGAGAGCAGTGGAAGATCTTCTTTCGCGATCCGAGCGGCAACAGCCTCGAGCTCAAGGCCTACGTCAACCCAGACGCCATGTTTGCAACTTATAGCGAGACGTAATGCCATTTTGCTTTCATGTCTTTCGCAATGTTGTCATTTTGATATATTGATACAAGGTCGATACGAACTTGATACTAGGGTGATATAGATAGTTCGGTATGACGTTTAAACGAGGGCTATGTCGCTGGAAAAAACGCTGGATTAGTCATCTTTCCTGGAGCAAGCATACGACGCAGGACAAGTTTAGCCTCCGGCGTTGGCGAGGCGCCATCGTCCGCGGTATATATTTAGCCAACGCCGCGTTCACGCACGTCCATGGGCCAGTCAGTGGCCAATTGAGCATGTCGAGACCTGAGACAGTCGACGGGAAGCAGGCGGCGCCGATCGCGCCATTCCATCTCGCCGTGCCGATTCACAGCATGAAAGAAGGTGCGTACTGTATCTCGGGCTCCACGCTATGACCGAGTCTCGTAGCCAAGCACTTTTACGGCACCGTCCTGGCGCTCCAGGAAGGGCACGGCACCGCTCAGTACCAGGTCTTCCTGCGACGCCATATTGCGACGTCGCGGCTGATCCGATGCGAATAGATCTACAACATGTGGGGACACCAGCTCGTGGTCCACGACGCCGGCCCGACGTACAGGTGCGTCGACTTGCCCGTGGGTACGCACTTGTCCTTCTTGCTGTCAACCGCCACTAAAAGTTGCTTGTAGCCCATGATGAGATTCCGATGCCGCATTTTGGCGTCTGCTTGAGCGTCCCCGAGTTCCAGTGGCTCGCCAAGCATCTCACCGCCCAGCGTGCGACCTTTCACATCAAGCCCCACGTGCGCTACGCAGGCACTGCCGGCGAGCAGTGGAAGATGTTTCTTAAGGATCCGAGTGGCAACAACCTCGAGTTCAAGGCGCTGCGCGACGCGACCAAGTTGCTCGCCAAGTACGACGTCTAGCGTAACATGTAGTATTCGTGCTCGAGAGGCGCTTGCGCTGGAAGAATTGTGGACAATATGTCCTATCAAAATTTGTAGATTCATTATCTAACTAGTCTATACATGGTATTCTCAATCGGACACGACAAAGAACGAGTGCTGGTTGCGGATCGTCATGTGGCACTCAAAGGACGCCAAGGACGCGGACGCCGAGTCGTGGGCGCGGACCGTCGGCGGCTCGCGCTTGACCTTGTAAAACTCATCAAAGCCCGTGAGGTAATAGCCCATGATGAACGACGTGGCTGCGCCGCTCGAGTACGGCAGCATGCGAAAGCACGCGCGTAAAATCACGGCTGTGGACGAGCCCATCGTGTCGAGCGAGAAGAGGTGGCTGTCGACAAACAAGAACGGGACGTTGAGCACGCAAAAGACGGTCACGACGAGCCGAATGTTGCGGAACGAGTGGCCGTCGAGGACTGCGTCGCCGATGCTGTCCTTGATGTCGTCGCCACGTAGGTGCAAGGCGACCGCGACACCCATCGGGTATACGATCGAGACGAGGCGAATGACGAAGATGACCATCGCCGTGTAATACAACGTCGCCGTCAAGTCGTTCTCTTGCGGCTCGTCGTGCTCGGTGAGCTCGACGTAGCTCACCGTGCCAACCGGCAAGAGATAGAGGAGTGCGAGGCCGTAGCAGGTCAGGTTGTAGCGCCGCATGGCGCGGCGGCTCTCGATCGCGGAGCGCGGGCGAAAGACCCATCGCTGGAGCTCGTACACGGACGCGATGAACCACGAGCAGGCCGCGATCGTGCACGAGTCGGACACGACGCGCGAGAAGAGGATCGTCGCGATGCGCAGATTGGGCACGCGCCCATTGAGGTAGATGCTAAAGGTGTACACGAGCCGCACGAAGAACCAGAGGCCTTTGCTCACGAAGAACATGAAGAATGTGCCATGGCACGCGTTGGCCGTGACCGACGCCCACTTGAAGACCGTGAGGCAGGTGACAAAGCACATGCTGGACGAGAGCGCGAGTGCGACCGTGTAGAGCATGATCATCTCGACCGGTTCTTTCGGGTCAGGGCCGGCCCTCTCGTCGACGAGCTGGCGGCCACTAGCCACGGCGAGCGCAGCAGCCATCTCCTGCACGCTCATCGTGTTGCAACTTGCCACTGGCCATTTTGGTCTCGTCTAAGTGCGCACGACCGGCCCAGTTAGGAACGCATTGAAATGGAATGTATCGTATGTATCTCAAAAAGAAGATACATTCTCAAGTATCGCTCAATTGGGTGACGAACCGTCTGCCTCGGACGACGCAGGCGCGCCGCTGCGAGATCACTCGTCAATGCGACGACCCGCGAGAGCGAGACGCTGCCAGCAACATTCTTCTACAGTACGAGCCATGGACGTCGCCTCGAAAGGAGAAACAGTGGATAAAACACGTTAGAAATGCACTGTATTGAGAAGAGAAAAGAGACATCAACGGCGTCGTCAGCACCCAGTTTGCAGTCGGACGTTCGATTGGATTACGCAAGGGCCGCGGCCACCGTGGCGACGGCCGCCGAGAGCGAAATGGCCGCCAGCGCGTTGGCCGACGACGGCTTGGGCGTCGGGGCAGACGTCGGGGCCGTGGACTTGGCCGCGGTCGGCGCCGGCGTCGTGATCGTCGAGCCGTTGGTGGGGGCCGTCGAGTTGGAGCTAGTGCAGCCTTCCAGCGCCTCCTTGGCGCCATCCTTGAAGTTGGCCTCGATCGTCGTTTTCGGGATCATGTACATGCAGTCGGGGAGCGCGGCCATGCTGGTAAAGTACGTCTTGCAGCCGGCGTTCGCGCAGAGCTTGGCGACCGACGCCGGGTTCTTCTCAAAATACGTGGCAAGCTGCTCGAGGGTCGGCTGCGCCGTCCACACGCTGGTGCATGCTGCCGGCGGCGGCGACTCCAAGAAGGTCTTGATCGCCGTAGCTTGCTCCGTGCTGCAGTCGACGTGGTCGCCGTGGTCGTGGCCTTCGCCGGCGAGCGCGGTGGCGGCGAACGCAGCGGCAATCGTCAGGAACTTCATTTCGCTGTGTTGGAAAGTTGAAAAGTGATCAGTCCACAAGTCGACAAGCCGAACGATCGAGCCGCGTCGACAGGCGACGGGCCACTCATTTCTTTCACAGACGAGTGTTCGTAGACGCCGTCGGATTCCGCACCGTCGGAGACCCCGTCGGAAAAGACAGTCGGTGGATGGATGCCTTGTGGCTGGGACACGAGTAAAATTGCCCAAGATAAGTACACGCGTGTCATCGCATCTCGTACGCTGTGTCATGGGACGGCATACGCAAGGCATGACTTCCATACAACGCCGCCTGCCATTCGGTATCTTCCACTCAGGGGTGTGGGCTTGCTTTGGCGTCGCCCAACGTAATTTTCATAAGTCCACATGGCGCTGCCACGACACCGGCATGCCCTGTATGTAACTGCCGTACTTGAATACGGGAATTCGTCACTTTTGTGTGTGGCAACGTCAAAGTTTCATGAACCCTTGGGCAACGCAGCCGTGCCTGTCCGCGCGATTGAACAGTCGGCGCGTAGAAGGGTCTCGACGAGCGAAATGTTGCTTCAAAGAGCTGCGACGTCTGATCACGCAAACGACGGCCGATTTGCTCGCTGTGTGTCGATCTTGAATCGCGTTTGTTGTTGCCACGAGCAAGATTGCTCGCAGCTCTCGATGAAGACGACGCGCCACGACTCTACACCATGCGCGTCAAGTGTTCCGCTCCAGGATCCAAGTCGCGATTGTTGATGGTTCTCGATCTGCAGTCGACGACACTCTTTTCACCTCGAGGCCGTCTGGCAGCAACAACGCGCGGCACGCAGCGCGAAAGACGACGACACGAAGCAAGATGGTGTCCGATAGCCGACCGAGGAACCAGAAACATGGTAGCGATGGACTGACATGGACGAAGAAGGTATGTACTAGAGCACTAGAGGGAGCGTGACGCGTCCACCATACCCTTGGACGCTGTCGATTTCCAACGACTTTGGATGAGAAAATGGGAGAATGAGACCTTACAGTACAGCTACGCCAACAAGCACTCTGGCCTCTCAAAGACGTTTCGAGGACGTTGATTGCCTTTCCGGCAGCTCTTTCCGCGCAATGCAAATCGCTGCTTGCAAAGCACATGAGGGCACGCCAATGAAAACGGGCTTCTTCTACCAATGAGATGACACTGCGGTGTTTCGCGAGAATGTTGAGCCAACGAATCCGAAACACGAAATATCAAGGTGCCGACGTCATCTCTCGCTCTACAGCCTGCAATGGACACGAAGTAACGCGCACACTGGCAGGCGGACATACTCGATTGACCCCAAGCGTTTGGGATTATTTCCATAAGCTATCTATCTATAAGCTATGAGTTATGAGGTCTGCCCCCTTGCGTAGGAAGCGCGCAGTTCTACCGACGAAAAGACGGTGGTTGAGAACAAGCAATCCCATATGACCAGGGATCCTACGTATGTGTTGATGCGCCTTCCGCCAACCCATCGAGTAGCAGCGAAGAGGCGACGATCCGCATTGGTAGTGTTCTCATAGGGTGGAGCGCGGTGGGCTCGCGAGATACACTACCATACATAAGCAGTTAAAGAACCTGTTCCTATGCGTGGCAGTTGGCTCTTGCGCGCGAACCGTGGGACGAGGGCTGTGGCCGTCTTGCTACAAGCCCGGTTGCGTCTTTGCCGCTTTTCTTCGAAGGCACGGTGCCGCATCCCAGCAAAACCAAGGCGTCACACATCGCAACAACAAGTTCGATCACGCGAGCGAAGAAGGAACATGCCCAGTATAATGACCACCGAAACGTTCACGTGCAAGCAATCTATGCCTTGCATTGAATCAGTGGAGCTCCTCATGCACTGACATTTGTGGTTGAGCTCGAACAACTTTGCCGCTGCATCGAGCTAGAACCTTACTGCAGGCTGCTCGATCGGTGAGCTCGTGTTGTCATCTCGCGCGAGACCGCTATTGTAGCCCTAACCGAGCTAGATCTACTAAAGTACATGTTGTGAATGTGACGTGCGATCAACACGTTTCACACACCTTGGTCTTCTACTCAAGGGGTTAACTCCTACTAGTACTTTACTAGCAGGAAATCAATGCGTCGTGACGATCGAGGAAATGATTTTGCTTCGAGTATCGCCAATTTCGTACGCTAGGCTACCTCGATTTGACCAAGTGTCGTAGGCTATTTGACGTGTATTGAAATCGTGCTAAAGAGCTGCGTGGGGCTAAAAACAAGCTAGTATAGTGCATAAAGAAAGGACACCACTTCATGGGCAAGCACGGAGTCGCCACGAGGCGTCCATGGACCCACTCTGCAATGGGTAAAATGACGTGCCGTCGGTCAAAATGCGTCGAATGGGTCAAATAGGTTTTACTAGGGCCCATTGTCCAACCCTTGCATTTTGGTGGTTTTGGCACCTTGCCGACCGCTGTCGCGACCACAGGCGCCTTTGATGTGTCATTTTGGATCAGGTATAGCGCGCAATGGTTCAAGATCGTGTAGTATCCACGAGGCCCATGCTGTCTTGGCCGTCGGAAAACGTGTACAAAGAATCACGATCGCCATACCACATGCTTCAACAAGACGCACATGCATGAGATCCCTGGACGCTCGCGATCTACCTTGGTCTTTCGTTGAGACGTGTTGACGATGCGAGCCACTGCGCATTGCTTCGCCTCGGGCCGTCGGTCCCCGCTTTTACATACTAGTACTTCAGTGCTAGAACGGGTGCCCGCGACATTTAAGTGAATCGGTTGTCGGGACGAATCTCGGTGGCTATGGCGCGTACGCACGCGTCTTTGAGCTTTGGTTATCAAACAGTGTACATGCATGCACGACTGTTGGTCGTCGTCCATCACTTTTGTTTGTCCCATGTCGGTTCAAAGTGCCTCCGGTTTTAACCTATAAAACGCATTTGAACGTCTGGAGGTACTTGTGTCGCGGCCCTCATAGACACGCTCCTGGGCGATCTTGGCGCCAAGAGCACGGCATCAGCGTCGTGGTCGATGCGCCAACGCCTCATTTCAGCTTTCTCCTTGCATCCCACTTAATGGCACCGATCCTTGCCGCACCTGCCTCGCACGTCCAGGACGAGCGCGCGCGTCTCGTCGCAGCGGCCCTCGACATGCAGCTGCAGACGACAGCAGCCAAGAACAAGCGCAAGAAGATGCTGGCGGCCATGGAGTCGCTTTCGATTGACGTCAAGAAGACGGTGACCGTGGTCAACCAGGCATCGTTGCTGCAGGCCGCGCAAGTGCGCCTGCGCGACGCGACGCTAATTGGTCTCCACACGGTGCGTACGACTCGCCAAGCGAGCAAGAGCGACAAGACGACTCATGGACGTGCATAGGAGCCGGCGATGACGACGCGGAAGCCGGAGGAGCCCGTGTCCGTCGTCGTGCTTGCGATGCGCGATGCGAACGGCGTCGAAGAGGTGTTTCTCTGGGACCTCCTCGCGCTCGACCCCATGGACTGCGACGACGCGCTCGCCGGGCTCTTTGCATCGCCTCACGTTGTCAAGCTGGGCCATAGCATTCTGCCGACACTGCAGGTGGGTTGTCTCGGCACGTTCCACGCACACCTATTCGATCGATGTAGGCGCTCCACGAGGCGTACCCGTCTGCCACCTGCTTCCATAAGCTCAGCCACGCGGTGGAGGTGAACGCGCTTTTGCAGCAGCTCTCCCACTCGGCGGTCTTCTTGAGCCTCGAGAAGCTCGTGACGGTGTGTTTGCGCCGGCGCCTGCCCAAGGCCCCGCACGCCGAGTGGCACCTGCGGCCGCTCTCGGTGCCGCAGCGCACCCGCGCGGCGCTCGACGCGCTCGCACTGCTCTGGCTCCACGATGCCATGGTCGGCCACCTCGACGGCACGTTGGCGTCACTCAGCACGACGTACGACGTTGGCGGCAAGGCCAAGGTGGCCTGCGCGCTCTGCAAGCGCAAGTTCAAGTCCCCCATGGCGCTGAGCCAGCACGCGACGACGTGCGTACCCAAGCCCAAGGTCGAGCTCCACTGCGCCAAGTGCACGCATGTCTTCCGTAGCGAAGCAAGCCTTGTGCGCCATCATTGCGTCCCGCCCAAGGTCGCGGACCACAAGTGCACGGTGTGCAGCCGCGCCTTCTCGACCAAAGTCGGCCTCGAGCACCACGCCGCGACGCACCAGCAGCAAGAACCAGTGGCGGAGCCCAAGACGCCCAAGAAGAAGAAGCTCGCGTGTGGTCGCTGCAACCGCAAGTTCAAGACACACGCGTCGTTGAAGCGCCATACGGAGAGCTGTGATGCTGCCACGCCCAAGCCAGTGACAGTCGATGCGACCAAGCCCAAGGTTGTCGCAGCCAACAAAGTCGAAGCTACCAAGGCCCAGGAGCCCACAAAGATCGATACTGCCAAGCCTGTGGCTGCAGCGCCGGTGGTCAAAGTGGAGGCTGTGAAGCCCAAGGAACTAGTGGCGAAGACGGAGGCCGTCAAGGCCAAGAGCCCCGCCGTGCCCACCAAGTCGACAACAACCGCCCATGTGGTGGAGGCAATCAAGACGGAAGAAGCTTCAGCTCTCTTGGCACCGACGCCAAAGGCTCAGGCGCCGAAGCAGTCGGTTGCGGCACCGGCCCCGAAGAAGGTCGAGCCCACGAAGCCCAAGGCGGTCCCGGTGGTTGCGCACAAAGCAGAGGCTCCCAAGCAAAAGGCCACTACCATCGCCAAGAAAACACCCCCCAAACAACCCAAGAGCGCTGCTTCGGTTGCAAAGCCGACGGCGGTCGTTGAGAGCGCCGACTTCCTCTTGGATGCACCAGCGTCCCATGACGCTGTCAGCTACCGGTACCTCCTCAACGTCGGCGTCAACCTCCACGCTGTGAACCACATCGCGCCGAGCAGTGTCACGAGTATTGCGGCGGCGGCCAAGCCAGTGCAGCAAGGGTCGAGCGTTGCACTCAGCCCCGACTCGAACCACGACTACCTCCTCGAGTCCTCGGTGACGCACGATGCGGTGGCGTATCGCTACAGCCTTGGCCTCACGTCGCAGCCCGTGGAGTAGTCGACACCTACGCATCTAGTAGTCTAGTAGTAGTATATCGTAGCAAATAGGTCATCACTGTACATTCTGCTGTTGTGTGTGGACGGTGGCTACCTGGTCAAGGGAATTCGCTTGCTGCTGGTTTAAAAGATCGCGCAGATCGCGAAACGCTGGCCTGTCAGGACTTTTTAAAAAGCATTTTAAAATGCATTCTAGTACTCTTTATATACATACAAACAACAAGATACACCATTCAAATCGTAACATATTATAAAAGCGCTGCATCCAGGCCACGGCCATCTGTTGGCGTCCACACCAACAATCAACAACTCGCCAGCTACACTCGACTGCAATGTTGCCACTGCCAGGATCCAAGGCCGAGCTGCAGGCCGCGCTCAATAGCGTGCCCATCCTTACACTCGGTGCCAACACGCGCGTGACCTTTGTGTGCACGCTCGCCGAGCTCAGTGCGTGTCACGAGCAGCTGCAGAAGGCGCTGCTCGTGGGCTTGGACTCGGTACTTAGTACACCGCACCGCGACCTCGGCGCCTCTCACGCCTCTCTAGGAGACGCGCCCGGTCTTTCGGAAAGGCGCGCCCCGGCAGCCCGTGTCGCTGCTGCAGATTGCCATGCGTGACGCCGCGTCGGCAGCGGAGACAGTGTTCATTCTCGACTTGCTCGCGCTGCCCAAGGCGAACGTGACGACGGTCCTTGCCGAGCTCCTTGCGTCGACGACCTGTATAAAGATTGGCCAAGGCTTCGAATCCGACCTCAAGGTATTTTACCTTTCTGGCGCAATGCATTTCTGCACCGGGAGCACCACGGATAGGATTTGGACGACGCGCTCGTGGTGCACAACTACATTGAAGCGACCGACCTCGCGCGGCTCACGCTCGGAAACACGGCACTCATTAGCTTGCAAAAGCTCACGTACATGGCCCTCGGACGGCGGCTCACCAAGTCCCAGCAAAAGTCCAACTGGAACCTCCGCCCGCTCAAGCCGGCGCAGCTCACGTATGCAGCGCTCGATGCGGCCGTCTTGCTGCAAATTTACGATGCAATTTGCGCCGAGACGTCGGTCGAGGCTGTGGCGTCCGTGACGCAAACGCTCGACCGCTCGGTGCAGTTTGTCTGCGACAATTGCGGCGCGACGCGGCCGTCGCTCGAGAGCCTGCGCCAGCACACACCCACGTGCAAGGCTGTGACCGCCAAGACGCTCCGTGCGAAGCTGCCAACGCCGGTTCCGGACGCAAGACGCGGTCGCTGCGCACGTCAAGGCGGCGCACGGCCCGAACGCACCGCCGCTCAAGCCCAAGCGCAACAAGAGCCGAACGTGTCGCGCGTGCCAGCACGTCTTCAAGACTATCCCGGCGCGCGAAAAGCACGAAGCGAACGTGCACAAGATCAAGATCCCTTTGCGAACAGACGCCAAGACCAGCGCGCCAGAGAGCGCCGACGATGCGATGGACGTTGACTCGCACTAGTGGTCCCGACAGCTACATTACGCTGCTGCTTTGTACAGAACAAGAGGCGATCACATAGACGAAGGGACCGGAAAGACAACCTTTCCATCATAGTCGCAACCCTACTTTTCAACGTACTTGGCAAAGAGGTTGGCAGGGTTGGTCATGGCCTTGAACTCGAGGTTGTTGTTGCTCGGGTCCTTGAAGAACATGGTCCACTGCTCTCCCGGACGACCTTCAAAGCGCAGATGCGGCTGCACGACGAACGGGATTGCCGCCGCTTGGACTCGCTGGGCGAGCGCGTGGAACTCGTCGACCGTCAAGCACACGCCAAAGTGGGGCACGGGGACGTCGTCCATGTCTACATGATGCGCATGACGGCGTATCCTCACAAAATACGTCGTACCCACGGGGTTGTGGTAGTCGCGCCCGCGGTACTCGGGGCCCACCGCGTGGATGACCAGCTGATGCCCGAGCATGTTGTAGTCCTATGCACAGCACCATGGACCACCGTGCGACGCCGGGCGGTTCGCACCTGCCAATGCGCCGACGACCGGCCTTCAGTAAAGCCGAGCTTGCCACCGTAAAAGGCTTGTGCTATCCAAGGTGCATGAGATGACGTCAGACGTGGCGCGCACGGGTACCTTCCGCGAGGCTGTGCACGGGCACGGCCAAGTGAAAAGGCGCGACGGTCGCCAGCCCGCGGACCATCGCCGCCCGGCGCGTCGTCATCGTCGTCGTCAGTCGCTGGACCAGCATCATCCGTGTTCGGCAGCAAACTGCAATCTCAAAAATTCGAAGCCACGGCCTACATTTCAGCCAATCAGCATTCGACAAACCACCTCTTCAACTTGCCGCTGGCGTCAAGAGCCTCGCTCGTGCACCACGCGGGCGGATAGGTCGACCTCGAGGGATTCTATGTTTCCCGTGGTCGACCTCGTCGAGGAGCTAATGCGCGCAGCTAGTCGATGTACGTTGCACATAGCGGTAACTGGCTGCGCCATATTCGGTCGAGAGTCGGCGGTCTCCCTCTTGATACTACCAGCAGCCTCTCGCGGCGCCGCTACCAAGTGCAATTTGTATCACTGGCAACGCGCCCAGCGTGCGACATCGAATGCACACCAGTCGTGTCATCAATCATCATCAATACATAGTCTAGTCAGTAGGTGCTCTAGTTGTTGGCCTTGCTGTGCCACGTGGAGGCGTCACCTTTCCACCACGGACGCACAGAGGTGGGCTTCTTCGAGTGCTTGGCGTTGAACTTGCCGCCGTCCGACTTGGCGCGCGCGAGGCTGAGGATCCGTCGGCGCGTCGGCGCGTCGAGATACGTGCTCGTCGGGCGCATGAGGAGCTTGTCGCTAAACGTCTTTGTGATCGGGAACCCGTGGTCTTCCAAAAAGAGAGCAAATTTGGCGACCTTGTCGGTCAGGTCCGGGTCCATCGTGCGCGCTTCCGGTGTCAAGCTAAACGCCAACCGGCGGTTGAGCTCGCTCTGGAGCTTGCTGTCGAACCGGTTGCGGGCCACGTCCTGGAGGATCTGGCGCGCGCCGTCCGGCTTGTGGAGCGCCATGCAGCTCTCGAGCGCGAGGCAAAACACTTGGCCATTCGGCTCGACGAACCGGTGACGGAGCGACTCGAAGATCGCAAGCGCCTGCGCGTGCGCGCCGCTGTCGACGCAGAGACCCATGCCCAGCGCGTACTGGTTCGTCGTAAAGAGGCGGCGCGGCGACGTCAGCAAGTCGCGAATGTGGTCGTACTTGCCGCCGTTGCTGTACAGGATGATGGTCGACTCGACGACCGAGTCAGCGCTTTTGACGTACGACCGCTTCTCATTGTAGAGGTCCAAGAGCGCCGTGCCGAGGTCATACGCGCCGTGGTAGCTGAGCTGGTCGAGGAGCGTCTCAAACACGTGGCCGGTGACGCGGTACCCGTTCTGGAGGAGGAACGTGCAGGCGTCCGCGGCCTCCATAGTCGCACCGCGCTTGAGGAGCCACTTGAGCGCACTGGTCTGCATCGCGGGCGAGACGCGCTCGACGACGTGCCCCGTCTTTTGGTGGGCGTGGCCCTGGGCTTTGAGAAAGTCCACGACGGGCTGCGGCTGGTTGCACTGGAGAAACGTGAGGAGCGCGCGGTCGCCGGTAAACTGGAACTGCTGCATGGTCGCCAGCACGTTCGTTACGTCGTTGGCGAGGATGTACGACTTGAGGAGCGACTCGACGACGCGGTCATTGACCTTTTTCCCGTCCTGCGTCATGGTCGCTTGGATCGACGCGACGCGGTCGAGGCTGCCCCGGCGCGAGTACGCCCGGATGATGGCGTTGTACGCATACGAGTTGGGCGTCATGTCGAACGTCTCCATGTGCTCGTACATGGCGATGATGAGCGCGTCGTTGCCGGCGGCCGCGGCGGTCGAAATCACCGACGAAAAGATCTCGGCCAGCTCGTCCACGTTGTACTTGCTCGCCGAGACGCATTCTTCAAACGAGGCTAGCAGCGTGTGGATCTGGTCGGTGCGGCCGAGGTTCGAGTACGCCTTGAGCGCCGCGACAAACGCGTATGCATTCGGCGTCAAGTTGAAGCTCGACATCTCCTCAAAGAGCTTGAGGACCACCTCGTCGTGCTTGTACTGCGCAAAGGTCGAAATGATCACCGAGAAGACGTCCGAGACGTCGGTCGAGTCGACAATATCCGCGTGGTGTTCGCGGAACATGGCCAGCATCTCGTCAGCGGCCATGATGGCCGAGTGCTCGAAACCCGACGCTAAGCTTGCAATGACAATGCACTTGTACGCGTCGATTGGCAGCGGCAGCTGGTTCTTGGCCTTGAGCGCATACCACAAGCGCGCCTACATGTGCAAAAATGAGCTTGCAAGTCCTGACAAAAGGATAAATCACAAATCAACAAAAATCAACAAAAATCAACAAAAGTCAACAAACATCAACACAAACGTACCATGAGGTTGTACTTTTCGGCGCGGAAGAGCACCTTCATGGCGTTGCAGACCGCGTACACGTGTTCTTCGTTGATCGTGCCAAACGAGACGGTCTCGAGCGCGAGGCTGTACGCGATCCGCCACTCGGGCGACTCGTTTGTGTTGTTGGCGAGGACCTGGAGGTGGTACGGCTTGGACCGAATGTGCGGGTCGATGTTCATCGCGTGGGCCGAGTTGATGGCGAAGCGCGCGACGGGCCAGTTCTGCGCGTCGAGGAGCTTGGAGATGACGTCGCCGATGACGCCTTCGGGCCGGTTGAACGCCTTTGGGTCCATTTTCTTGACCAATTGGGCGACGTCGTCCCAGCACTCGTGCTTGACGTAGGCGTCCGAAGCCGCACGGACAGCAGCGTCGTTGAGCGCAATCCCGTTTTCAAGCATCTCGGCGATGCAGTCGCGGATGTACCCCGTGTAGTCGGCGTTCGCCTTGGAGAAGCCCGAGATCGCACCCGAGTACAGGAGGCTCTCGGAGCCCGGGAGGTGCGCCTTGGTGTGTTCGATGAGCTTCTTGAGCGACTCGACGTCGCCGCAGCTGGCAAACGCACCGGCCGCACTGGCAAAGGCCGGCGCCTGGAGGTTGGACACGTGTCGCATCATGAGGTCCCAGTACTTGACAATGTCGTGGCGGTTCTGGTCCACCGACCGGTCCTCTACAGCATATGATCGATCTATCAGCGTGATGCTGACATGCAGCCATACCCGACGAGCGCGCGAGGGCGTTGAAGATCGCAATGTACGTGGTGGCGTCTTGCGGGCACCCGTTGGCGCGAATGAGCGCCTCCATCATCTCAATGGCGTCGGCCGTGTTGCCCTTGCGGCCATGGGCGCGGATCGCAAAGCTGTAGGCGGCGGGCGGCAGCACGTCATAGTGCGACTGCAGCTCGTGGAACGCGAGGAGGAGGATGTCGAGCTCGCCCGTCACGACGCAGTCGCTCATGATCCCCATGTACGTTGCGATCGTCGCCGGGCGGTCGCGCGACTGGATGCGGTGCCAGATTTCGTAGGCGCCGTCCCGGTTGTTGGTGCGGATGTAGGCGAGGATCATCTTGGAGAGGCAGTAGTGGCTCGCCTCGACCTTCTTGGCTTCCATGTCGGCGAAGAGCTCGGTCGCGAGCCAGAACGCCTTCTTCTCGCAGAGCGCACCGATGGTCGCGGCGTGGATGCTTTCGCCGAGCACGATGCCTTGCTGGTTGCAAAGCGAGAAGACGTGCAGCGCCTGGTTCATGCCCCCTAAAATTGCATTGTCAGAGTCCGACTCCAGATGTGGAAAGGTGTACCGAGCGAGATGTGGGCGCGCACGAGCTGCGTGTAGACCTCGACGTTGGGCTCAATGCCACGGTCTTGCATCGTAAAGAGCGCGTGCATCGCAAAGTCGGCGCGCTGGCAAATGCCAAAGCAGCGGATGAGCGCTGCGAATTCGTCGCAACCGAGCGGCGTCGCCCACTGCGCGTGCTCCCCGAGGCTCTGCAGAATATCTTCGGCGTACGGAATCGAGCGCAGGCTGCAGCACGCGTCAATCATCGAGTGGTACGCGGCCAAGCTCATGGGCTCGTTGGCGCGAAGACGCTGGATGCCCAGTTCCACGAGCTTCTCGGGCTGGTTGAGGTGCATGTAGAGCTGCACAAAGAGGTCGATGGTCCCGGCGCTTGGTACGATCTTGTCCTTCTCCATCGTGTCCTTGAGCGCCTGCATCGCGTCAATGCGGCGGTCGCGGCCACACGCTTCAATCGCGAGCTCGTACGAGAGCGCGTCGGTCTTGCCCGACTTGTCGAGCTCCGACATGACCTGCAGCGCGCGCTTCCAGTCGCCCTCGGACGCGTACTCGCGCAGCAGCTCTGTGTGCGAGCTAAAGGCGCGCGAGGCCCTTGCGGCGCCCAGCTGCGTGATCGACCGGCGCAACATGACTCTGCTCGACGTTGAGGTTCTTTGGATCTGCGCGACCAATCTCGCGTATCCGGATCAAATGGCGCGACCGGCCAACCAATCAAGAGCAAACACACGAGGCCATTCTATGACTTGGCCTTTGTATGTGTGGGCAGCAGGATTTAATGCCACGGCGGTAAAAGATCCGCCGCGACGCATCTGCGTATCCGTAATTCCTGGACGAATACGGAAATAGTGTACGTTTTGACACGCGAACCGCTTGTAGTCCTCGCCTGTGCACGACTCGCGTCAGCCTAGATGACGACAACCTGTGCTCATGGACTCGCATTCCATTGGATCTTCACGATGCCAATGCCCTGGGCATAGGCTATTATGACACTACAACTCGACTCACGCGACCAGATCTTATATCTCTCTTTTCAAAACCACTGCGAAATCGTTGTCGTAGTCGGTGTACGCCTAGCACAGGGCGCAGCACGCCTACTGAGGCCGTAGCTACGACACGAGACTCTGCAGTCTGCGCCAAGGGAATAGAAAGGTTCCCTTGGTCGTTCCAGACGACGACATGGCGATTTCCAAGGCGAACGGCCTCGGCACTGCGAGCATCGACGGCGCAAAGCGACGAGGCGCCTGCAAAAGCCGCAAGTGGGGACAATCAAAGGCGCCCTTTACGCGTGGGACGAAGGCTACTAGTACACGTTGTCGCGTCGTCGTCGCACCATTGCAGCAATGTGGCGCGGGTCCGTTATTACACTATATGCGGTGCGTACCACGTGGCGTATCCGGTCTATCCGGCACCTCGGTCCAGTTGTCGGCCCGTTGTCCACCACCAAGAAGCCAGCATGGGCCGCCGCAAGAAGTCGACCAAGAAGATCGTGACGCGCAAGAAGCAGGTCGTGAGCCGCGTCTTCAAGTGCCCGTTCTGCTCGCATGACGAGAGCGTCGAGTGCAAGATGTACGGCCCACCCGTCCGTCGCCGCAGCTAATGATACCGCACATGGCCGATTTAGGGACCGCGACCGCAACATTGGCCATCTCTCTTGCCGCGTCTGCAGCGAGTCGTTCCAGACCAACATCAATTGTACGTCGCCAATGATACGAACCTGCCACCTCATCATGCGCATGTAGATTTGAGCGAACCCATCGACGTGTACACCGACTGGATTGACGAGTGCGAAGCGCTCCATAACGAGCAGGCGAGATAGATAAGGACGATGCTACAATTACGTGGATGCCTTCGTCTCTGCCTTGGTCTTGGTCTTGGCATCGCGGGCCTTGGACTCGTCCCGTCGCTGCTGCCGCCCATGCACCTCGCGCGTCCGACGACCGTACTCGATCTCCATGGCTTCGTACTCGGGTGTCTGCCCCAACGACGCGTAGTGCGCCTCGATGCGACCCTTGAGCGCTGCAAGCGCCTTCTTCTCCTTGTGCAGCGCCACGTCTTCGTCGTGGTGATAGAGCTTCTCGGCTTCGCGGGCCGCGCGTTTGGCGGCCTTGGCCGCCGCCTTGTCGGCCGCCTCCTTCTCCAGCCGGTCCTTCTCGCGCTTGTTCATCTCTTGGGCATACTCGAGGAGATTGGTTTTTTGCAGCGCCGCCATCGCCACGGCGTCCGCGGCCGCATCGGAGGCCGCCTTGTCGGTCGCCGCCTCCAAGGTCCGTTGCAGCTCGAGCTTGGCCACGCGGTCGGCCTCGTATGCAATCGCTGCGTCTTCGGCTGCCAACGTCGCCGCCGCCTTGAGCGCGCACGCGCCTTTGGCAAGGCCCGTGCAAATGGCGCGGAACCGCTCGACGTCGATGGGGCCGCTACATGGAGCCGTCTTTGGTACAAGAAAGGACGATGGGTGCGTGGAGGAGGGCACCTGAGGTCGAGCTGGAGTTCTTCGAGGGCGAGATCGACGACAAACACGTCGCTGAGGACGGCGACCGTCTACATCAGCCGACACGTCGCCATCGAATCGACAGGGTCTCGGTCGCCACCTCTTTGATGGCGGGCGGAAACGTGGCCCACATGTCCTTGGCGACGTCGTGCAAGGTTGCCAGCAGCGTCTCGGGCTACAGGAGCCATGGAGTCTCTATACAGAAGGACGACTGCGTACGCTGGTCGAGCTGCTCTGGAGGTCGGCGAGACGGGTCGTATCGACAAAGTTGTACTTGGCATACCAGCGCTTGGTCGCATTGAGGTACCCCTTGTCGTCGGCCAAATACGTGGCAAGCACCGATTGGCTAGAAACGCTGTTGACAACGATCGTGGTCCAGAACGCCCGCTCGTTCTGGAGACAGTAGCGACGCCACCACGGCGGACGTCGGAGGAGGCGCGTCGGTGCGTGCAGTACATGGGCGTTGGCCGAATGCAGCACGTCCCCGATCGACGACGCACGCGTCATTGTGAGTGACGCGTCGACGATCTGCGACGTCAGCGTCACTTCCAAGAGCACGTAGTTGGGCAGTGGCGACACAAAGCGCTGCTCAAACTCAAAACGCTTCTCAAACGCGCCGCGGTCGACAAACGGGAACGGCTGCACAGCCGAGGTTACCGGGCCCGTCGTGTAGTTGTGCAACTCAAAATTCGAGTTTTTGTCCTTGATGGTCGTCTCGAGGCCGAAGCCCATGTTGCCACTGAGCACGGCCACGTCACGGCCGTCAATTTTCTCTTTCCACTTGAAGAGCAGCGAGAGAAGCTGGTCCAATTGCACGGGACATCCCACCCAGTGCGCCTGCAGGTCGAGCGCGCTGTACAATGATGGGTCGGCGACTGTCGGAGGTGCGTTCTTCGGTGTTGTCAGCAAGAGCGGGAGCTCCATGACGAGGATGAGCGCTCGGACACTCTTCTTCCGAAGCAAGCTCTACGCAGAATGGGTGGCAGACGCTGTGACACGCAGTGTGAAGTACCTCGAACGCCATCCACTGGGCCTCGCTGATCGTCGGCCGTGTCTACGCCTCTCGAATTTGATCCCAGCGGCAATGAAGGCGCGTACCGTCGGTGGTAGCGGTGTCGAGAGGCGTCCGTTGCAGGAAATGACATCGCCGGCGCGCGTGCTGCGCATATCAAACACAAACACACCAATGTGTTCGAACCGAAGCGCATAGTACAGCGGCAGCATCGGGGCAGTCGTTGCCGGCGTCTCGGCGATCGTCGCCGCCGGTGGTTCGTCGGCGTCGGCGTCGTCATCGGGACCCCAGCCCAGAGCACCTTGGTACGCTCGCCAGACCTCCATGGCGATCTCGTGGATGTAGCCAAGGATCTCGATTGTGCGCGGGCTCACGCCTTCTTTCAGCAGCAGATCGGGCGACCGGCCATATGTCGTCGCCACGTCGGCTTGCGCGCGGACCATCCAGTTGCTAATGCACGCGAGGACGGTGCGAAAGTGCGGCACGTTCCACGCCGCCCAGTACTCTTGCTGGAACCGGCGGCGCAGCCGCGGTCGCAGTTCCGCCGCGACCTGCGAGACCGCGTCCATCGGCCGACCTACGGCCGTCTCGACACCGTTCTTGCAACATACTAGTAGCATCGTACGGTCGCACTCGTCTTGGAGCCAGTGCGTGCACTCGATGGCGGCTTCCTGCAGCGGTACTTGGCCACCGAGATGCAGCAGCACATCGAGACCGTGCCACGGCACGCAAAGCCTAGAGCATCACATCAATGGGCTGGCGACTCGTGCGATTCGAAAGGCTACCGTTGCAAAAGAAGCTGCCACGTATTGACAACGGCAGGATCTCGAAACTGGATGAGATTCGAACTCACAGCAACGATGTTGAGTACGCTCGTGTGCTCGGACGGCGTGTGAAACGTCCCACCACGTGTCTCGTCGTCGAGACCCTACCCCTCGGTGTCCACCGGCCGCACAACCGTGGGTAACGTACGTCAAAGCGATACGTGTAGCGCCGGTCGACGTCGAGGGTCGACAAGAGAAAGACCGACGGTGTGTACGCTGCGAGCTCTAGCGTCACGCGCCGCCTACCTCTCTGCATGATGACGCTGGTAAAAACGTGGAGCTTTCTACTCGTCGCCTGAGAGAATGTCGAGAACGATGCACGTAATGGCGCGGGCAGCGTTGACTTCGAGAAGCAGAGTCGCCGTCACAGAGTACCTGTCGGTGTCGCTGTCCTGGACCACGCGGAGCCGGCCAAGAACGGGGCCCAGCTACGGCAGTTGTGAGTGGCCGCCGCGGAATCGAGACGCACCAGCGCTTTGCACGGGACGTTGTAGGGCTCGATGACCGGCTGCATATGGCCCTCGACGCGATCGAGGTCCGAAAAGTACGCGAAGGACACAAAGCTCCGCGAGGCGTCCGCAGCGTCCGTGCCTACCATCCCGAGTGTGCGAAGGCTCAACGAGTGCATGCATGGCGTGCCTTGCTTGGCGTACAGAAAACGCTTGGTGATCGCACCGCTCGGCGGGTACAGAGGCGTCGACGATGCGCGCGTCGGCGTCGAGATCGACGCGAGCTGCTGCAAGCGACACACGCCCTGGCTCCGCTGGTCCGTGATCACGTACGTTGTGAGCGCGGGCCCTAACGTCACAAGGTGCAGCTCTCGGTCGGCCCCGGGCACCTGGTTCTTCCACTCAAAGAGCTTTTCAAACAGCCGGTTGACACCAACGAGGTAGAGCGGATTGAGTGCGACCTCGAGCGCATCAAATGCTACAACCACCAAAAGCACCTTGCAGCCTTGCTTGCTGTAAAGAAGCGCGTCGTCCAGCGTGAGCCACGCGCCAGGCGGAAGCAAGTTGTTGGCTTGCGTCACCTTGGAGATATCGATGCCACTCGGCTTGGCGACGGGCGCGGCCGTTGCTGCCTCTTTTGGCGTTGCGTGCTGGTTGAGCACGATCAGTGTACAGTGACCAAAGCTGGCAAACGTGGCGGTCCGCGTTGACGCGAGTGACTCTTGTACGTTGACGTCCGTTGCGAGCTGGTTGGCGTAGAGTAGCCAGACGTGGTACGCGGTATCCCGCAGCAGCTGAAGCACCTACGCGAACTATGGGCATTACCGGTCGCTTCGTGCGAGCCCGACCCGCGCCGCCTTGGCTGCGTCCACTGTATCATCGAGCCGTCCCTCGATCACCGAGAGGCGAAAAAACAAGTCCGTCTCGTCAAACAGCATGAGGTTGCTGCAGTTGCGCAGCGCGTCTCGGAAAGGCGGCATGTTCCACTGGACGCGGTAGGCTTCTTGCATCGCGTGTCGCAGCTACGAGCAGCGAATACGAGTGCGTCGCTTTTGGGGCCATACCTCGGGCAGCACGGAGACCCAGTGCGCTTCGTCCATGGCCACAAGACGAGTGATAATGGCCGCCAACTACAAACCACTTCACTGCAACTGCATCTACAACAAGTGGCGGCTACCTCGGCGTCGCTAAATGCGACGCGCAGGTTGACGTGGCCGCCGCAGTGCACAAGTACAATCGGCTTTCGCAGCGGAGCCGACGTGTGGTCGAGATCGACGCGCTGCCAGAGGTTCTTGGCGCCGTCGACACCGAGGACGTCGCCGTTCGTATGCGCCGTCGCCGCTGCCTCCGTCGCGTTGATGGACCGACTGCGCAAGATGTCTGCCCAGGACGATGACGCGGACGTGTCAGCCGACCGCTGGAGCACGGTGTGCCAGTTGGTGTCGTGGACCGTGAGCACTGAAAAGGCATAGGGCGTCGTGGATGGCGTCGTGAAGCGTGTCACGACCGACGCCGGTGCGATACCCTAACCCTAGTGTCGGCACCTCCACATCCCACGCAACATACCTCGAACGTCACAATGTACTCGGTCGCGGGTGCGAGCTCGACGAGCGAAAATGCCAGCGGCGTGTAGGCGCAGAGTGCACTCGAAGCCGTGATGCTACATCCGTTTTCTCGTGGGGACTGTATTTAGATATGGCGCACCGGTCGGTCGCGTGTAGCTTCGTGCAGACGCAGACGCACGTCTTGACATCACGGTCGACTTCAATCAGGATCCGAACCGATGTCGCTGTGAGCTTGCCGAGCACGGGGCCGACAAGAATCTAGCAGTACGGCATTTCTGACATCATGACGAGCGATGGAAACACGGTACCTTGGCGTTGGGCTGCGCCAGCATATTTCGGTGGAGACGCCACCGCGCCTGTGTTGCGTGTGGCGTCAAGATCGTGCTTGTATACTCGGGCGACGCGCCAAAGTTGTGGGCAAAGGCCATTGTGCCGTCGCAGAGCGCGCCGTTCGCGTCCGGCGGCGTCGGCAGGTCGTCCACAACGCAGGCGACGGGGCCGACGACGATTTGAGTCAGCGAGACACCCTCGTGTACCAGTGTTGTCGTCGCACTTCGAGGCCCCGCACAGACAAAGAGGAGGTCGCGCCCCGGTACCTACCGTCGCTCCATGAGCAGCGCTCTTCAGTCGCACACAGGTTCTTTACCGCAGCTTTCCAAGAAAAGACTAATGACAAAAGGCGCGTCTGCTCGGCCGGATACAGAACCCACTCGAGTCCGAGGTAGCGAGACGGGACGTCGTGCCGATGTCCATGCCACACAATGGGCGTGCTGCACGATATCACGGTGCAGCAAATGCCGGTTGACTGGACGAGCACGGACTCGACGAGCTGCCATTGCGTCGGGCTCAACAGCTCCGGCGTCTACGTGACGTTGGTACGATGGGGATCCGAGCTAGAATTACAGTACATTGCAAAGGTAGATATCGTCTGTCGCCAAGCGATGTTCGAGCACATCGATGTGCAAGAACCCAATGCCGTCTTGGCAGTGGTAGCCATACCGGCGCAAGGGATCGAGCGTCGGCCAGAGACCGTGGTGCTGGTATTGAAAGGCAACTTGGCGTGCCCACACAACCACGTCGCGGCTAATCGGCTCGTTGACTGCACTCCAGTCGTAGCCTGTACCGAGAAACCAGTGGCTGCCATGCGCCAAGACCGCCGCATTGTCTTGCGCAGTCCACTGCGTGAGAAAGGCCGCTCGAAACAACTGCTTGACGACGCTTTCGGCCGCCGTCGGCGCGCCACGCCAGTGCGCCATCGCTGCGCGGATCGACTCGAGGCTCAGCGACGTCCGATGGAGGAGCACCACAATGTCTGTGGCCGGCCACGACGTCATGTTTTCGCGGTAGTCGGGCCAAAACGACTGCACCGGCTGAAAAGCTCGGTTGCCAAAGGCATCGTCGCCGCCGACCCAAGTCACGTGCAACGATGGCGCTCGTTCTTGCGGCGTCTGGACATAGATCAGTGCGTCGCAGCCCAGCAGACCCTACGCAGCCAGCACCTTGACACAAGGCAACTCGAAATGGCAAGTGCTTGCCGGCAGTGTCACACGGTACCGCCGTTGCGGCTGCAGATTGTCAAACGTCAGTACGGCAGGCTCGGCGCGATAGAGCCGTTGGCGGCAGACATACCTACAAAGAGATGTGCAGATGGTGAACAAGCAAGCGTTAGACCGTGTCTCCGTCACAACGTCCGTGGCCTCGCCAACCACAACCGCGTCATCATCGAGTTCGATCAACAGCTGGGCACTCCGCGCCGTGACGAGACCGACGACGGGACCGACCTACGCAGAGAGACGTAAGCATGACGCAAGCCATTGCGTGGTCGGTACCACGATGCGCGGCGGGGCGACCCATCGCGCGGTCGCGATATTCTGCGGCACAACGTCGGCAGTTGTCTATCTGCAGCGTGAGGCATGCCACCAATGCGACGACCAAGGTACCGACCGTCACACGGACATCCAGCTGGCCAAACTGCGTCTCCCAGTGGCATGCTGCGTGCTCGACAGTAAACATTGTACCAACGGCGTACGTCGGATAGACGTCCACGAGCGGCATGAGCGGTCGTCGTTGGCGCAGCGCACCACACAAAAGCTGCTGGAACGAGTAGGGTGTTCCCGTGATGTGCACAGTCGACGTTGCCCCCGCACCGTGCGTTGGCGCCAGTAGCACGATCTGCCTCGCCGTGTCGTGCAGGCGCCACAGCGACAAGGCATCGAGATAACGACGGGTCGACGCCATTTCCAGCGGCGCTTCCTCCAGTGGCAGCAGCGGTGCCGTCGTCAGCACCACACAAACCGACGATGCGGTGTCGCGTAAGAGGTGTCCGAGGGTCTCGGCGCTGGTTGGCGTCTGCGGCAGGTGCAGCAGCAATAGAGGACCGTCCCGGTACAGTGCGATGTCGTCTGCGGACAGTGAGGTCGGCGGCTGCAGCGCGGTGACATACCGCGCCCACATCGCTTGCACGCACGCCTCGAGCCAGGCACGCGAGGCTTGTGGCAGTGTCTGGAGCTGCGCCATTTGCGACGCGTCAAAAGCGCTGTAAAGCGCGTCCTTGGACGCAGTAACGACGAGGTTCGAAGCAGTCGTGGCGACACCGTCGAGGGGTGCCCACGCCTGGCGACAATGGGACTGGATCGCGTCTCTCGTGCTCTGAACCGACGTTGCCTACAGGCAAAGACCATTCCAACACCACGCTTCATCGCTCGCAAGGGTATACGTTGTCGAGGTCGAGGAGGGCGACGGCATGCAGAACCATTTCGGGCGAGAAGGTCCCTAGGACACCTTGCTCGTTGCTTCAGACAGCGTGTTTCACAGTACCAAAGTGCCAGTGAATCACAAGTCGGGGCGACGTCGTGGCCGCCGAGAGCTCGCTGGCCGTTGCCACCGAGAGGGCGTCGTGGGATGGCAGCAGCGTGGGCCCCACGTGGTTGAGCGCCGTGATGCACAGAGTGTGATCCGTGGACGGCCGCGTCATGACGCGCGCAGTCCGCGTGTTGGCATCGCCGATTGCAACACCTGTGAGCCCAACTACGTACGTAGCGCCGGGCGTGAGCGCAGAAAACGTCACCAGCACGGGCTCCCGCCCCATCACGGTGAGGACGTGCGACTCTGCGAGACGCCGCCGGCGGGACGCCGTGTCGGTTGGTGGGCGATGCGCGTCGACGACGTCGTCGTCATCAAAGGCGTAAAACGTTACTAGCCATAACACGCTTGCATATTGATCGAAGGAGGTTGCAGCCCACCGGTGGCTGCCGTTGAAAACTCGTACAAGACGTCGATGGTCGTGTCCGACACCTGTCGCTAGCTCAGTACTTTCGAACAACATGGCGTACCTTGCCGACGACAGGCCCGCAGAGCACGCGAATGGCGTCGAGGTGCGGCAATGGCGTCTGCAGCGCCAACTGGTACCGGTAGTAGGGCTCGACTTGTCGGTGTGCAAGGCGGCTGAGGCCATGCACCAAGTGGTGCAGTCGGAGCGCACACCTATGTATTATTCATGGACGCATGGACGACGTTACGAAGGCGAGGATCGTACGTGAATCGCTGCAGGAGCGACTGCGGGTCGGCGTCGAACGTCGCCCAGTTCAGGAACTGGTTAAAGTTCATTTTGGCGCCGGCGGCGACGCCATGGCGGACGAATCCATCGGCGCTCATTTGCGTGATCGCATCAAACGCCGGCACATCTTCAACAAGTCCTAGCTTGTGCAAGCCACTCATCGCCAGTGTCATGAGAAGGCTGAGCTCTTCTTGGTCCATCTCGTCCTCAACATCAAAGTCGAAGAGTGCAAAGAGGAAGTGGGCCTTGGCGAGGAGGGTTCCGCGGCTAAGGAGCGTGAACGCGACGAGGAACTCGAGCATGTCCATGGCATCGCGCGCCTCGGTTGCACTGCGCTCCTTCATGCGCTCAAAGAAGGCGCGGACCTCGACCTCGTCGTCGTCGACAGGAATCTCAAGCACGAAGAGCACCTCGTCCAGAGTGAGTGCGTAGCCGCCGTCGGTCACGTGCGGGTTGACGTAGCGCCGGTACATCTCCCAGACGCGCTGGACGCGCGCCAAGGTGAAGCGCTGGTTGAGGAGGTAGAGCTCTTCCGCGACCACGAGCACGTTGTCCATGCCAAGAATTGCGATCTTGAAGCGGCGCCAATTTTGACCCGGAAGTACGATAATCGTACTTACAGAGTCGCTAAAAAAACGCAAATCACAGGAATCATGTTTGTTTGTTTGATTCCCTTGACATCATCACTCGAGTGCACTACACGTATTAGTACGCGAGCGCATTGGGTTGGCCTGTATCCTGCGAAGAGCGTCCTTTGATTGCCGGTAGCGTTGGTGGATAAGGCGAAGCATTACGCCGCCTGAACACTGCCTAACAGTGTAAACACGTGCGATGAAAAAGCTCAGGCGTTGGAGGGTTAAACATTTATTGAGGAGACTGCCGTGGGAGTGAAGACGCGAGTCGGCAGTAGGACCGCCCATCCGTTGTCACTAAGAAGGCGTACAGGTAAAATGAACCCTGGTCCGGTTAGACTGTGCTTTGTAGCTTGCGTAGCTGATGCTCACACGTCGACTAAAATACAGCCCTAACCGCCGTATCAAGCGATTCTCCCACCGATCGTAAAGTAGACGGGAGCTCAACACTGACATATTCCTTCCCAGCCACATCGATTCCTAGTGTAGTTAGGGTCGAGCTACCACGCTAATGTGTCAAGGTGCCGATTCGAGTCGCATGCGATCGTCCTCCGAGTCGAAGTCCATGTCGCTGTAGAAGCCAGGAACCGCAATGCGAATGCAGCCGTCGTTGCCCGCGCAGGTTTGCGTGAGCACCCCTAGCACAAAAACCAGTCATAAAATGAGGATGCAATCCGGAATGTGGCACACCTGCGCCGCCTTCGCCAGCGATGCCACCCTGATCGGCTGCTGGCGGGTGCTTTTCACGGCCACCGGGCACGCGCTTGTACGAGCGCTCGACGAGGACGCTGGTAAAACACGTTTTCTCAATATACGAGGACCCGCCCCCGCCGCCCCCGACGATACCCGGGGAGAAGCCGCCGCCGCCACCGCCAAA